TTTAACTTCAAGTCTATAAGACCCCCAAAAGTACTTCTTTTGATAGCCATGCACCATCAGCTTTCTTCACTACATTTGCTTGTGCACCCATTTTGGCTTCAGCAATTGTGTCGGAGGGTGAGCATCACAGAATGCTGGATAGTTAGAACAGAGTGTTCTTGTGTTGAGGGAGGGCTTGAACCTTCCCAAAGTCTGTCCACTTCCTCAATGTGTTGCCATATAAATGTATGTACAGAGGCCAATACCTCTATTTTTTATTAATTAATATATTTACATAAGTGCACACTCATGTTTATACTCTATCCATAGCTTTGCTTCCTAGATCTTTCCTCTGTTTCCTTTTACCTTCCTCCTGCCCACCATCTATCTTCTTCTCAGCTACATTGCTGTTTCTCCACCACCACCTGAATCCCTATGTCCTCCTCATTGTTGCCTTTAATTCCTGTCTAAGGTGTTGTTTTAAATTCCCTGTCTATGGTGCTGTTTGCTCACCACTCCTTTCCCCTGCCTCCTCCCCCACCCAAGTCCCTCTTTTTTCCCCCAAGTCACTCTTGAAATGTCATTCCTATTGCTTTCTTCTGGGGCTTGCTTCCCACGCCCATCTTATAATGGTAGGCGAAACAACAATAACAGAGATGAAACAAAAAGGAAACAAAAGATTGAATGAAAAGAGGGACAAAAAAGAAAAGAAAAAAATGTCAACAAGCCAAAAATTAAAAAGCATACATAATTCCAGGTCTATCTGCTGACCTTTATGACTATCTCCCCATTGGTCCTGGAAGGTTCTGGACACTGCCCCTCCTAGCCTGAGGTCTATTTGGGGGGCTTCTCAGGGGCTTTGTGGCTTGGCTTTGCTCCCATTGCTGATCTGTTATGTTCCCTTCTTGGTTTACCCCATCGTGGGGGTGCTCAGACCAGGCTCATTCCCTGCCGTGTGTCCCCAGTATTGCCCTCTCTCATGGTATGCTCCAGCTAGGGGAAACCCATTGTATTTTCAGTCACGTCATAAGCATGTGAAAGTTGGACACCGAATAAGGAAGACCATAGACTAATTAAGGCATTTGAATTATGGTGCTAGTGAAGAATATTGAAAGTACTACGGATCAGAAAATAAAACAAAATAAAAAACAAACACATGTCTTGGAATAAGCACAACCAGAATACTCCTTAGTTGCAAGGATGATGAGCCTTCATCTCATGTTCTCTGCACATGTTACCAGAATAGACTAGTCCTTGGAAAAGAATATCATGGAAGGTAAAGTACAGGGCCAATGAAAAGATGGACTGACACAGCAGTTGCTAAAATGGGCTCAGAAATAGCAATAACTGTGAGGACAGTACAGGACCAGGCAGTGATTCATTCTGTTACATATGGGATTGCTGTGGGTCAAAACTGACTCAGTAGCACTTCATAACAGACACAGCAATGGTCTGAGGTTCTTTCTTGAGATGCATGTGTGTGTGTGTGTGTGTGTGTGTGTGTGTGTGTGTGTGTACATACACACACACATATCTAGGAGCAGCACTGATTTTGCTTCTCTAGAGGACCGACCCAGCCTAGCACAAGGCCTTAAACTATGCACTGAGAAGGAATGGACCCCAGGTTATATTGGACAAAAGTCATCTGGATCTCTCAGTGCTCTCCAAATCACACTCATTGGCAGCCACCTTCTAGAACGGTGGTTCTCAACCTGTGGGCCACAACCCTTTTGGGGTGGAACAACCCTTTCACAGGGGTCGCCCAATTCATAACAGTAGCAAAATTACAGTTATGAGGTAGCAACGAAAATAATTTTATGGTTGGGGGGTCACCACAACACGAGGGACTGTATTAAAGGGTTGCGGCATTAGGAAGGTTGAGAACCACTGGTCTAGATGCTCCATAGAAGGCCATCACTCATACTAGACAGCTGATGACAAAGGTTCATCAACATCTTCTTCAATTTTCTATGTGAAATGAGGCCTAGAAACTACAGCGAATTCTCATTTTATCTCCACGAACTGCTTCAGAATGTGCTGCATGGTTGAAGAAACTCTTGAAAGGAAAACTATCTTGGTCCCTACAATAATACAGAGCTTCTGTGGGCTCCTAGATAATATGAAGTGCTTGAGAAGAGCCTCGTTGTGCAGAGGATTATACACTGGTCTGCTTATGTCAAGGTGGCTGTTTCACACCTACCAGTAGCTCTGCAGGAGAAAGATAAGGCTGTTTGCTCATGTGAAGATTTACAGCATCAGTAACCCTTGGGAGCTGATTTATGCTATAAGATCACTCTGAGTCAAGAAGAACTCAGGGGCAATAGGTTGGTATATAGGCCAATTCAATCTTCCCAGGACTATTCCCTAGGCAGAAATAATGTATTCCTTTCCTGAACCTCATCAATACTGTTACATATCTCTAAGGTAGCACTGTGCCATCACTCAGAACTGCAGTGTGAACTGGCATCTGTCACCTACAAAACCAGTGGATTGACTTTACTAGCGACTAAAGAGAAAATAGGATATGATTGGTTGGGATGTTGCATTATACAAAATGACATCCCATGCAATTTTTAATAGAACACATTGCTTAATTGTGTTGCCTATTATGGTAGTCACTAGTCTGATCCCATTTAGTTTAAAATAATTAAACTTAAATAAAAATGAAATGTAGTTCCTTTGAAAGAGCTAGGAGGCAAAGGCCATTTATAGGGGTCTAAATAAAGGCATGTACATATGCAAATATATTTATATATAAGGATGGGGAAATAGATCTATGTGCATATATTTATAGGTTTAGCATTAAGGTAGCAAGAATACTTTCTTCTATTAAATTGGCATTCTATGATGCTCACCTTCCCGACACAACCGCTGAAGACAAAGCGGGTTGAATAAGCAAATGTGGTGAAGTAAGCTGATGGTGCCCAGCTATCAAAAGATATGGCGTCTGGGGTCTTAAAGGCTTGAAGGTAAACAAGCGGCCATCTAGCTCAGAAGCAACAAAGGCCACATGGAAGAAGCACACCAGCCTGTATGATCATGAGGTGCCAAAGGGATCAGTTATCAGGCATCAAAGAACAAAAATCATATCATTGTGTCCTCACCTCCATGATACCATTGAAGACAGATGTGTGCATAAGCAAATGTGGCGAAGAAAGCTGATGGTGCCCGGATATCAAAAGATAGGCGTCTGGAATCTTAAAGGCTTGAAGGGAAACAAGCATCCATCTAGCTCAGAAGCAACAAAGCCCACATGGAAGAAGCACACCAGCCTGTGCAATTCCGAGGTGTTAAAGGTATCAGGTATCAGGCATCATCAGAACAAAAAATCTTATCATAGTGAATGAGGTGGGGAGTGCAGGGTGGAGACCCAAAGCCCATCTGTAGGCAACTGGACATCCCCTTAAAGAAGGGTCTTGGGGAGGAGACGAGCCGGTCAGGGTGCGATGTGGCAACAATGAAAAATACAACTTTCCTCTAGTTCCTAAATGCTTCCTCCTCCCCAACTATCATGATCCCACTTCTACCTTACAAATCTGGCTAGACCAGAGGATGTACACTGGTACAGATAGGAACTGGAAACACAGGGAATCCAGGGCGGATGATCCCTTCAGGACAGTGGTGTGAGTGGCAATACTGGGAAGGTAGAGGGAGGGTGGGTTGGAAAGGGGGAACCGATTACAAGGATCTACATGTGATCTCCTCCCTGGGGGACGGATGACAGAAAAGTGGGTGAAGGGAGACGTCGGACAGGACAAGATATGAAAAAATAATAATTTATAAATTATTAAGGATTCGTGAGGCAGGGGGGAGCGGGGAGGGAGGGGAAACAATGAGAAGCTGATGCCAGGGGCTTAGGTGGAGAGCAAATGTTTTGAGAATGATGAGGGCAATGAATGTGCAAATGTGCTTTACACAATTGATGTATGTATGGATTGTGATAAGAGTTATATGAGCCCCTAATAAAATGATTAAAAAAATAAAGAAATGTAGTTCTTTTGCTGCACTTGTCAAATTCCAAGTGCTCAGCACTTGGGTGAGTGGATGGTGCAGTTTCAGAACACGTCTGCAATCACAGAAAATTCAACTGGGTATTGCTGCTGCAGTACCAGTACTGCCATAATAAATGCTAGCTCAGGCAAGTACATTCAACTGCATTTCCATAATCAATGAGCCTCACATATTGCTCCTCTGAAATCCCTAAACCTTTCGTGTTTATTCTTTTAAAAGTCATACGTCATGATGAGCTCGATGATCTCTAGGTCTAGTCTCATTTTTGTTTTGTTTTTCTTTACCTATCTTTAGAAATAGCATACATTCTGTTAGGCCGCCACAGTGGCTGTTCATACTGGAGTGTAGTCTGGTATGACGAAAAGCAGTTTAACGCAGGACGGATGGCTTAAGCCCTGGGACAACTAGGTTCATCAATCTACCACACAACTCAGCATCATTATAGAACATTAATGAGCTCTGGATAGATTTAAAAGCCATCCAAAGAATTATGACTGGGTAACATTCAGTTTCACAAGAACTTGGAGTTTCTGAGCTATAATCCCAGCTCTCATGCTAATGAGTATTGTGATGTGGGGACTATCATTTAACTTCTGTGTTTCCGTTTTCTTCCCTTAAAATATGGCTGTCACTGACCTACCTAACCCAAGTGTCTGGATAATTAATGAATTAATGCTTACGGGGGATTCCAACTCAATGCATGAAGGTGTGCTGTGTGTCATTATTTCTATTCTTTCTCCCATAGCAGCTGAGAAACAGTTTACTCCTCTTAAAAATGGATTTTCATTCTCAGTATTTTGCCATTACCTATGTGACCCAAGCCTTCTTATCTTAAATTAAACTAGCCCCACAGCGAAGAGCACACTGATAAGAGTGGAGGTACTCAGATACTTCTTCCTTTCTGACTACCAGCTTTTCCAGCCGCATGAGGCTGCATGAGGCTAGGGGTCAATCTTACCAAATGTGAAAAGAAAGTTAGAGGACGGCCCAATTGGACCACCGACACTTACAAGCAATGATATTCCCATATCTGTTCTTCATTCTGTTCTCATCTTTCTTAGCGGAGTCCCATGGTGCAGACTGCCCTTCAAAGAAGCTCTGGAAGAAAGAGAACAATGATATTAATAATGACAACTTTGTATGACCATGAATATGATGGAGTATTTGGGTGGGGGGTAAACTTATGAAAATATTTTAAACATCACCAAACTGCTTGAGGGAATGACTCCTGAGACTATGGTCCCAAGCCTCAAATCACCTAGATCAATTGACCTAATATAATCCAAAAAGACAATATTCTACATCCTATTTTGGTAACCAGTGACTGCAGACTGAAATGCTTGTAAGCAGCCATCTAAGGTGTAGCTACTGGTCTCTCCTTGCTCAGAAGAAAGGAGAGTGATGGAAACTGAAGATAGAAACCATTAGTTCAATGGACTAATGGGCCATAAGAGCACCAGTCTCCATGACCCCGAGAGCAGAACCCTGACACCACAGCTGAAGAAAGGTGCTTGGTTACCACTACCAATTGTTCTGAAAAGAATCACATTAGAAAGTCCTAGATAGAATGTGGGAAAATGGTAGAATAAAACTAGAAATCATAAGAGAAACCATGCTTACTGGTTGGATAAACACTGGTTGAACTGCTGAGATGCTCCCTTTCATGGCCTGCCATTAGCCCTTCTACATATCTACAAAAGGAGCAAATGCTATTTCCAACATGCAAAAATCACAAAAATATTATATACACAATTGTGTGTTTAATTGCTTAAGAGTTTTAAGTTGTCTATCTTCAGGTATCTTAGTTACTGTTATTGTTGATAGCTTACAGTTTTTATATTATATTTATTATATGATATTTCAATAATTTTGACATTAAATTTATTGCTTTGTAAAAAAATCATAGCAGGCAAGGATCTCATGTACTTTACATCTAGGTACATTAATAGTTTCACACTGTACTTTGCTACTTAAATAATAAAATCCTGTGTAATATAGTACAAATATAAATAAAATATTTCAGATTATTAATAAAGTCAATAAAATACTAGCAGGAAAAATCATTAGTTAATTCCATCAAGAACATTATGTGATCAAGCATTTATTTCAACATGTTACTTCCATTTTGTTATAAAGTATGCATTAAAATCAACTTCAAGGATTTTAAAGTCAGATACTCTTTCTGAATAGTGTCTTTGTTACCCTATGAATGACAATTACTTTACAGTTGAGTAATAACTATTATTTGACTTTCCGTATAATAATTTAATTCTAATTTAAGTTTGACATGGTTTAATTACCAATTTCATTTCCCTCTGACTTTTCCACCCATCTAAAACTTTTTAGGTTTATTTTTGTGTTGGCACATATAGAAAGACAGAAGAGGTAACTGACTCTGAGGGTGATCCTGAAGTCTCCATAAATCCATGTCTACTAGTTACCATTAAAAACCAACCACGGGCTAGAGGAGGAGCCCATCACATTCCCCTGGTGAAGGGAATCACTCCTGGATCCTCTCAGGTGGGGCCAGACGGAGCCAGGAGCTGCTCCTCCCACTCCTGATCAACAGATGCTCTACTGTCCTGTCTGCACTCACATCACAAGCTCTGCTTCTTTTTAGGGTTTGTGGTAATTTGTATCTACAGCTACTTCCATTGTTTTCATTATACTTGTGTCTGGGAGGCAGAGTTAAATTAGCAAAAGGAGTACCACTCTATCTCCTGATGTTTGTACACTCCAGTCCCAGAGGGTTCCATAAAGGTGAGGCCTCAGTTTACACCTCTCTAGATACGCATGTGTGTATAATGGCACCTAGCACAGTCAGGCAACAAACAGTGTTTGCAGAATGAGCACGTCCATGATTGCAACTACTCTTCATTAAAAAGTCAGATCCAGAAAAGTTTAATTACTGCCAGAACTGACTCCCTTCATGCCTTATTGCCCTAGGAGTCTGCCCAGAAAAGTTTAATTACTGCCAGAACTGACTCCCTTCATGCCTTATTGCCCTAGGAGTCTGCTGTTCCCCAAATATCCTATGAGCTCATTTCCTTTTCTGCAGAACAGAAGATGGGCAGTCTCTATTAAACCCAGCAGCAAACTGTATCTGAGGAAAACAAAGTAACTCAGCGTATCTACAATTAAAGCCCAGGAAAGAAACAGTTAAGAAACCAAACTGGGTTTTCCCTTAGGAATCAATAGCTGGGCTTGAGTCTGGTTTGTAGAGACCCTATAAACAGAGTCGAACTGCTCTGTCGGATTTTTGAATCTGTGAATCTTTATGGAAGCAGACTGCAACATTCATCTACAGAGCAGCTGGTAAGCATGAACCACCAACCTTGTGCTTAGCAACACAATGCTTAACTTATCATACCACCAGGGTTTTTTTCAGTGAGCAGATCGGCTGCAAAAGACCTCTTTAAAGCATTTGAGGACTAAGGTGCACTTGACCCCAGCGTGGTATTTTCAGTGGTCTAATATATGAAAGCTGGGCATTGATTAAGGTAGACCAAAGGAGAACTGGTACCTTGAATGATGCTGTTGGTAAAGAATATGGAAAATAATGCATTCCTGTAAGAATGAACAAATCTATCTTGGAAGAACTACGATCAAAGTACTCCTTAGAAGCAAGGATAGCAACGTTTGTCTCCTGCACTTTGGACATGTCATTGGAAGAGGCTGGCCCCTACAGAAGGGCAACAGACTTGGTACCGTGGAGGTCAGTGCAAAACAGGGAAGACTTTCGGTAAGGCGAAAGGACACAGTGACTGCAACAATGGTTCAACGCAGCATGAATGTGGGGCTGGCGGAGGCCTGAGTGGTGTTTCCTCCTTTTGTACACGGAATTTCTACCGTTCAAACACTGACCCACAGGGTCCAGACCACAACAACGTATCTGTTATTTTGCTATGCAACCACTCTATTCACATGCTTTTTTACTGTTAAATATCTTCTCATAAATAAAGCAAAGTCTATACACATATCTTCTGTGCACGAGAATGAAAGGTTCTTCAACCGTCTTGTTTATCTTTACTGGGATGCGGCTGAGTTTCTTTCTCTTGTGCACAGGGAGGTCGTGAGTCAGAACCGACTCACTGGCACCGAATGAAGAATGACAACAACAGTTGCCCTCAGTTGACTCTGGCTCATGGCGGCCCCTTGTATATGATCCCACGAAGCACACACACAGGCTTTCTTCTGAGATGCCCTTGGGTGAGGTAGGTGAGGATTAAATGCTTAAGTACCTGTGCTACCCAAAGGCTTTTATTTTATTTTCTATTTTTGTAATTTAAGACATCAAAATGTATTCATGCTGCTTTACAATGACCTAAATTGACTTGTTAAATGCATTGGGAATTAATGAATTCTACTGTCAACCTTTTGGGAAGCAAGTATTCATCACATAATCCATGCTTCATCTACATAAGAACTGTTCATATCAAATTTGGTTAAAGTAAAGCCTAGCAATAAAACACTTTACTTTAATGTGTGAATGTGACAAGCACAGCTTTCGGCCCACTTGGGGCAGCCACTGCATCTCTGATCCCTGATTTTCCTGGTGCTCTAGATGCAAACTCCTATGTTCAACTCAAACTGCCACCACGTGTTTGATGATAGATTAACCAGCTGAATCTCCCACTTCGTCATTTTTTCTTGAAATGAGTTCTGAGCAGGTTCACAGACATCAGATTCAGCCAAAGCACAAGCATGATTCTGAAAAAGGGGCCCAATGAGAGGGAACAGAAAGGGTGGTAATAGAAGCACGCCTTAAACGATCACTTAGCATCTGACAGCTTCCCATATGATGAGCAGTGACTGAAGTACATTCCCAGTACACTTTTTGTGGGAGGACTTTTAAATACAATATGCACAGTTAGGCGATATTTAGTGTTTAGGGTAGGTTTTTAATATGTGGATACAATTTAACACATTAACTGTGGACTTTTTAATATGAAAAAAACCACTTTATGTATTTGGGGGATTTAAGTTAATGGTCTCACTGTGTCTTCTGTTGGAATTTCCATAAATATACTTAGGCTTTTATTCTACTTGAAATGTAATTAAAGTGTTTCTTCTACGTACCTTAGCTCATAGATACTGAGGAAAGGCAGCAAACCTGGGAACCACTCCCAGAGAGTAATAAGTCTTGGAGACAATAAAAATGAAAGTAGGCCGGCTCCAGTGAATACCAATGACTTCCAGCCGCACCGACGCCGCACTCACCACAGGCTTGGAGCACAAGGAACGGAGCAGCCTGCAGCCTGCTTTTTCTTTCCTTTTCAGATTAGGAAGCATGATTCTGTGATTCAATGACTTCACCCCCTACCCTTCAGAGCGCCCTCATTTTCCACAAGATAGAATTATACACCTCAAGTGAATGTGGCTGCAAATGATGCCGTCTGTTAAAAATGCCACATCTTCAGGTATTCCAAAGGAAGGGGAATAAAAAGCCCACTATTCAACAGAAAAGCTGCCAACAAGAAAAGCATGCAGGTCAAGGTTGCATATAATATACAGCACACTTTCCAGAAGTGCAGGGTCATCTTTTTTAGAAGCTGCTGAAATCGATTTTTCCCTCTCTTCCGCATATGAATAAAATTGTTCACATAAAATGACTAAAATCATTGCCCTGAAAGAAGGAACGTGAACTCACCAGAGCCTGCAAAGGCCCGGAACTTTCTTTGTTTTCTTCCTGTACTTCTCTGCGGAGTCTTCCAAGACTTGCATGTTATTAGGCTCATATAAACTGCTTATTGCTAGAGCACTGAAGTGGCTGACGAGGCCTAACTTGGCCTGGTGGTCCACCCTGTGGGGTGCCTATGGGAAGGTGATGAGCTGTTAAGGCCAGTAGTAGCAGTGGTCACCAATCACTGTCATCACCCAATGTCCTGGACAAAAGCAGCCAATGAACTTGTGAGCTGTTTCAAGAGAGATGCTCCAAAGGTCAAGCGAAAGGAAGGTTGAGCAGAAATAGGTATCTAAATGCATGATTGCATTACCTATTGTAATTCATATATATGTGTTCATATAATGTAATTCAAATCTATGTGAATGAACACTTTTCTCTTAAAGTTTTCTACCTTAGTGTGTTGAATGACCAC